TGCCTGCCTCTGCCTCCTGAATGCTGGGATTAAAGGTGTGTGCCACCACTGCTCGGCTTGTTATTTTATTTTTTTAGACAGGGTTTCACTTTGTAGCTCTGGATGGCCTAAAACATCATATGTAGACCAGGCTAGCTTCAAAGTCACAGAGATCCACTTGCCTCCCAAGTTTTGGGACTAAAGGAATGTGACATCATGCCCAGCAGTGAGAGAGAGGTTTTACTCAGACTGCTGGGTGAGGAGGCCCTTTCCCTTTTCACGCCAGATGATTTCCCCATCATTCTATCCTGTTGTTTTGGGTACTTTTCGCCCTTCTCAAATTCATCTCACACTGATAACAAAGCCATTGTTCATTTTAAGAGAAAGCCAGACAAGGTGGTACCTGCCAGTGATGGCCAGAGGACATCAGATCCCCTAAAGCTGCAGTTACAGGTGGTTGGGGGCCACCTAACATAGATACTGAGATCCAAACTCAGATCCTGTGCTAGCTCAATATGTGCTCTTATCCACTGAGCTGCATCTCCAAGTCCCCCAGTTCACCACTTTTGAAAGTCTGGGTATCGGCATCATGCCTAAGAACCTAATCCTGCCTTCATTTGTATTATTCTTTCTTCTTTCTTCTTCTTCTTCTTCTTCTTCTTCTTCTTCTTCTTCTTCTTCTTCTTCTTCTTCTTCTTCTTCTTCTTCTTCTTCTTCTTTTTCTTCTTCTTCTTCTTTGTCTTCCTCCCCCTTCTTCAAAAGGCATATGATACTACATCTGATTGACCTTTCACTCTCCTATAAACGAAGCTTATAGCTTTCCTTTTGAGTCAAGCTTCATGTTAAGAAGGGTTTATGTTGTGATTCCCTTTCACTGCCCTATGTTGAAAGGGCCATTCTTTCTCCATTGAGCTGGTTTTGCACCTTTGTGTACTCAGCTGGCCCTGCTTGTGAGAGACTGGTCTCCGCTCTGTTTCATTGATCTTTATGACTATTTCTTCTCTAATACTACACATTCTTTCCACTTTAGTCTCTTATCAACTTATAAAATATATTTACTTAGTGTGTGCCTATGCCAATATTTGTATACCATGGGCATGTATGGCGGTCAGAGGACCACTTGTGGGAATCAGTTTTTTCCTTCTACAAAGTGGAACCTAGAGATTGAATTTAAGCCATTAGGTTCGCTGGCAGGCACTGTTGCCGACAGCCTGTCGACATAGCTATTCAAGCATGTCTTTCCGTTAAATGTAGAATAAGTTTGTATCTACAACAAAAGTTTTCTGGATTTTAATAAAAATTTCAGCAAACCTATCACTTTGGGGAGACGTGGTTACTGTTGGGTTTTCCAACAGTAACTATGTAGATCTTTATTTTCTACAGAGTGTAACTTCCTGCATCCTTGTTCCTAAAGCCTATTTTTAGATTTATACCTAAGTGTATTTTTGACTACTTGTAAATGTTACTGAATTTAAGTTCAGTGTCTACAAGTTTCTTGTTGGTATATAGAAATATACTGGTATATGTTCTTGGATTCTGCAACCGGATTGAATTTCCTGTTTGTTTGGTTTTTTTTCTTTAACAGATTCCATAAGATTGTTTACATAGATCAGGGTGCTGTTCCCATCCTTAACCTTAATGTATAGTGTAACTATTTTCCCTAAGTTTGACATGACCACTCCTGTGCAGATGCAGAGCAGCTATGACCATCACAAGAAATTCTCCCCAAACTGGGCATTCCCTAGAGGAGAGAGGGGTGATTTCAGGTCTCTTGTTGATTCCTCTCTGATTGGAGTGAACAAACATTTACTTTCTTTGTTTTGTTTTTGAGGAAAAAGTTAACTCTGTAGCCCAGTATACCTGGAGCTCTCTCTGTAATCCAGGATGTCTTCAAGTTCATAGCAACCTTCCTGCACTCTAAGTGCTGAGAGTACAGATGTAAGCCATATTTGTCAGCAGAGGAATTGTTTGTGACAACTCACTGTGAGGTCCTAGTGGCTTGGAACTTGTTATGTAGATCAGGGGACCTCATACTCATAGAGATCCATCTGCCTCTGCACCTAAGTGCTGGGATTAAAGATGTGTACCATTACACACACCCTAGGGCTTGGCTTTGTGTCCATCTTGGTAATGGCTGCTTTTCCATATTTAGTGTTTTTAGACTTATTTATGTGTGTGAGTGTTCTGACTGCATGTTAAGTACATGCACCATGTGCATACCTGGTGCCTGTAGGGATCTAAAGAGGCCACTGGATCGCCTGGAACTCAAATTATGGATGGCATGAACCACCACATAGTTGCTGGGAACCAAACCCAGGTCTTCTGCAAGGGCAACAAGTGTTCTTAACTGCTGAGTCATCTCTCCAGCCTGCATGTCCACATTTAAATCATTTCTATTTTATGTGATCTTGTTGTACTTAAATCTTCCAGCTGTTCCCCTTGTGCCCACCTTTCTACTGTTTTCTCTTCTGCCCCTTTACACTGCAATCCTATGTCATCTTCATTTTCTTGTCCATGGTTATTTTGAGGCCTTTGGGGAACATTTTTAATCTATCCAGGTCTTCATTGGGTTGTATACAAATTTATAGTTTCCCTGTGTATGATATGCTGGATTGCCTTAACTTCTTTAGTACAAGTCTACTAGTAACGATGGTTATTTAATCTTTTTCTTCCAGTGCTGGAGATCAAACCCGGGCCCTCATACATCTATTACTGAACTCTATTCCAGCCCTATTTATATATTTTTTTAAATTAGAAAAAGTCATCGTGTCAAGTGTGGTAGAAGATGCCTCCTATCCCAGTATCCAGAGGGTGAGGCAGGGGGATCACACCAAGTTTGAGGCCACGTTGGCTACAGTTTGAGCCTTGTTTTAAAAAGTGAAACAAGAGCTGGGCATTGGTGGCACACACCTTTAATCCCAGCACTCAGGAGGCAGAGGCAGACAGAGTTCGAGGACAGCCTGGTCAACAGAGCAAGTTACAGGACAACCTCCAAAGCAATGCAGAGAAACCCTGTCTCGAAAAGCCCAAGAAAACAAAAACATAAACAAAAGCCAACCAATCAATCAATCAAACAAAAAGTGAAACAAGAAATAGAAAGGGAAGAATTACCTTAGCTTTGCTTTTCAAAAGACAGCTTTGCTAGGCTATCTCCCTTAGGCACAGAATTTTAACACTAACTTTGTGGGCCGGCCTGTGGCGCACTTTCTTGATTGACAGTTGATGTGGGTGGGCTCAGCTCTCTTAAGTTACAGCCCAGAGTTCCCTCAGATTGAGCAGTGCCTAGAAGCATAAGATGAAATAAACCCTCTCCTCCCAAAGCTGATTTTGGTCATGCTGTTTTACCACAGCAATAGAAACCCTAACTAAGACATTGGATATAGAATATCGTGATGCTATCTTTGCTGGGTATAAAAGAGTAGTTCAGCATGTGAGAGGCCCGAGGTCTCATCCTCAGCTTGACTAAAAAAGAATGAAAAGGAGCTGGAGAGATGGCTCAGAGGTCAAGAGCTCTGGCTGCTCTTCCAGAGGTCCTGAGTTCAATTCCCAGCAACCGCATGGTGGCTCACAACCATCCGTAATGAGATCTGCTGCCCTCTTCTGGTGTGCAGATATACATGGAAGCAGAATGTTGTATACATAATAAATAAAATCTTTAAAAAAAAAAAGAATGAAAAACTCGAATGTGTGTTGCATGCTACTCCACCTAAAGCACCCAAAGCACAGGGACTTCAAGCCCTAGGCAGGGTATGGCCAGTAAAGAGCATGGTAGCACTACAGAAGCATGGCTAGGAAGGGGCGTGACTGGGTCCGCGGGGTAACTGGGCATGCATGCGGGATAGCTAGCTGGCTCCCGGGCAGGGGGGCGGGGGGG